GACAGGCTGAGGCTCGGGGCTGCGGGAGAAGCCGGCGCCGCAGCCATGCGGGTGGGAGCAGTAAGGCAGGCGGCTCCTGGTGGCTGCCATTTGCCCTGCCAGCCGGGCGCGTGAAGCGCCCCAGCGCTACCCGGAGACGGGGAGGGGACCCTTCGCCAGCTGCATCGATACGCGTTTTCGTCTTCCTGCGCTGGCTCCTGCCTCTGCCCCCGGGATGCCGGCCTCACTGCGGCGCCTCATGCTGCTGCTCTGGCTCTCCAGTGCCACGGCGCTGCTCGGCACTGCGGCTGGTAAGTAGCCCCTGGGCGCGGGCAGCTAGAAATTTTGAGATGGGGAAGGGCGTGGGATCCCCCAGGGGTTCAGTGAGGCAGGGGGCCCTGCTACAGCATCCCCCTGTCGGCACCACATGCTCCCACACCCTCAAATGCTCAGCTGCAGACCCCCTTGGCAGAGAAAACAGGCTTCATTGTCTACCTGGACCCACCCCTCAGTTGGGCTGTATTATACCTTGTCTGTTGTTGGCTGAATGGCTTTTTCTTGTCATGGGGGGGTGGGGGAGGAAATGCAGGCTTTTTATTCTGAAAGCCTCGCCCTTGGTGATGTGCGACATAGGCTTTTTCTTTTTCTTTTTCCTTATGATGTGTTCCTATAGCCAGCAGAGCTGTGTGTGCTTGCTGGTGGGATCTTTGGGCACAGCCATTTTTAATTTTAACAGCCTGGGTGATTTGAGAGGCATTACATCTACGAGGGCGGGTGCATTTTTAGGGATGCCTGCTAGTCCACCCTGCCTTTTCTCCTGGGTGTTTGAAACCGAAGTGGAAATTTTCCATTGTTACCTGGGATCACAGGGTGATAAAACAGAAGGCTGGTGAGGAAGCTGCGAGGTGTGTGAATACGGAACATGAAAGATTTACTTTTTTCTATAGTGAGTGAAATATCTAATGATTTGGAAGCATCGTTTTCTTTATTTCAAGCAGTTGAATCCTTTTTCATTTTTTTTGAAGCTAAGGTTGGAGAGGAATAGAAAGAAGAGTTTTCTATATATTCGGAAGAGTAGTTGATATGGCTCTGGCCTCCGTTGGCTTTTGGTCATTGTATCAGCTGAGAATGGAGGAGCTCTTTGAAGGGTTATTCAGCTTTTATTAAGTACTAATGCATATTCCTCCCTTGTGTATGCTCTTCAGCAGCTTTGGAAGACTTGTGGCACTGCAATATCTGTCCTTCTATTCAAAAACCAGTTTAGAATACCTGATCTTTTCAGCATGATTCTTTAGTCAGCCATGTATCTTAGTCACAAGCACAAACAATAATTTTTCTTGTGAAAACAATCAGTAAGATTAGGATAGTTTGCACACAACTTTTCACATGAGTAGTTTTAATAGTTTTAAGTGCCTTTTTTTTCCCTGCAGTGTTCAAGCCAGTCACTCTGTGAATCAGCCACATTTTTATCAGTTTCTCCATTGTGGATAGTCCGCGTTCATTTCACTTCTCTTTTTTTAAAAGATCTTTAGGGAACTAGTGAACTGAATTGATTAATAGGCATCATTTGCCTGCATTAGCATGACCTTTGACTGCATCCATATTATAGAAAGATATATACAGTGTCTGTGTAGTAATTTAAGAGGATTTCTTTGAAGAATGGACCTTTGAAGGTCAAAAGCTTTGGTATGAAAATGTATGTATGACCCTAGAATATCACATTATCTAAACTTGTCCCTTAAATGTGAAAGTTGAAGTGTAGCATTTTCTTTTGTTTAATTAGTAAAACTTCAGCAGGTTGATATTTCTTTGTGCTGATGGGCGTGAAGGATTATTGAAGGAGTGAGCACTGATTTGAGCTAGGCAGGCAATGGGCAGGTACTGTATATAAGCCTACTCAGTCCATTTTGCTAATTGACCTCCGTTTCCACCCGTTAAGAACATTCTTGCTATTTCTAACTTGGGTATGTCTGATAAAGAAACAGTAGCAAAGCCAGCATTTTTGATCATCTTGTGATATGTATGGCTAGGGATTTGTTTTTACATTATGAATTTATTAAAAATATGCATCCAACCTGGGCTTTAAACGTTTTACTCACAGTTGATGGTTGCTGATGTTTTTGAGACTGAGCTAAAGTAATTATTTGAAAGTTTGATTGTAAGTTTAACTGTGAATATTAAGGAAAAATACTGATACATGGGAAACCACTCTAAGGTGAAATTCTGCCTGTTCATATACATGAACGAACCCTTTTATCCTCTGAAGTAAAACAGTAATTCACGTATAGGTGCAACATTTTAACCCTGTGCAGATTTGAACTCCTCAATTAACATGCTTCTGCATCTCGCTTAGGAAAGGATAACTCAATGGCAGGGTAAATTCAGTATCAATAAGCATGAAGTAATGCACTCTGGAGGGGAAACTTGAATGTATGATTTTAAGTCAACAGGACTAATGCAGAAAAAATACATAGGCATCTTTAGTCAAAAAGCAAAGGATGCATGGGGAGTATAAAGGAAAATATTATAGTGTCATTAAAAATAAAGGATTCATTTACAATCTGTACAGAATGCAGGAAATATGGTGAATAGGGATTTTCTTTACACTGAGCATTTGAAAACCTACTAAGGAACCAGCTTGAGACTCAAATTCTTCCTATAGGCTGCCTGGGAAAATTTACCACTTTCCTCAGCAAATTCTTTTCAGATTGTAAAAATAAGTGTTTGGGTATTCTCTTCTGAAAGTTGTGCATCTCCCCACCTAAAGAGCAGTGTTACTGTGTGGAAAATGGTCAAGATAAAAGGTTGGCAGGGCCTTTAAAGGTGATGTATGAACGCCAGAAATTTGAATTTGTGCCACATTATGCTTCCTTCTTTTGTAAGAAGAAAGCTTAAAATTCTCCTCATGTAACATCTTTCTTTAGCGGTATCCAGCATGTGTATTTTTTCTTATGTTGGGAGACCTCCTCAGTGACTCGTATAGCTGGGGACCCTAATTGAAGAGGAATATTTGTTGAATCTTTGAACGATTGTGTTAACATTTATTTAACAATTTGAATAAATGTAATTTCTCCTCTAATATAATCATGTTTTACTTTCTGGGTATCTGGGATATATAATCCAAAACCTATTTCTCCCTCACTTTGTAGACTCTAGCCATGGAGATTCCCATCTCTAATGTAAAAACCCAATTAAGAAAAATCCAGAAATAAATACTGACCCCCCCCCCCCCCCCC